AAACATGTCAGTGTAGAACAATTAGACAAAAACATTGCAACTATAAACATAACACAATATGTTCAAATATGCCACTCAAATGAATACCAACTTTAAAACAATCATTTGCCTGGTTTAAAAAAAAAAAGCTCATCTAATATAGGATTCGAGTTATATAGTGGGCATAGAGCGGGTAAAATAAGTATTGAATACGTCACATATTTTCTCAGCAAATATATTTCTAAAGGTGCTATTGACATGAAATTTTCACTAGATGTTGGTTACAACCCATGCAATCCATACATACAAAGAACAAAAAGTTCAAAAATTACGTTTTGTGTAATAGAATGGAATGATGCTCGCTTCGGCAGCACATATACTAAAAGTGGAATGATAAAGAGAAGATTAGCATGGCCCCTGCTCAAGGATGACATGCAAATTCGTGAAGCGTTCAAAAATGACACATGGAAAAAAGTATTGAACACGCTAACTGACATTTATTTAATACTTTGTACAATATCCTTTGTTATTAATGATAGCTTCAATACGCCTCCTGTATGGAGAAACTAGTAACATGCATTGCACAGGTGTGATTTTGGCTCATTCTTCCACACAGTGTTCAAATATTGACGGTTCCGTGGACCCCTTCTATGAACCTCTGATCTTTTGTTCTTTCAATAGATTTTCTATTGGATTCAAGTCAGGTGATTGGTTTGGCCATTCTAGCAGCTTTATTTTCTTTCTTTGAAACCAATTGAGTTTCCTTGGCTTTGTGTTTGGAATCAATGTCTTGCTGAAATGTCCACTCTCGTTTCACTTTCATCATCCTGGTAGATGGCGGCAGATTTTTATCAAGAATGTCTTGGCACATTTATCCATTCATCCTTCCTTCAATGATATGACATTTGCCAGTACCGTCTGCTGAAAAACAGCCCCACACCATGATGTTCCCACCTCCACACTTCACTGTTGTATGGTGTTTTTGGGATGATGTGTAGTGCCATTTGACCTCCAAACACGGTGCGTATTATGGAATCCAAAGAGTTCAAGTTTGGTCTCATCTGACCAGACTGTGTTCTCCCAGTATTTCGCAGGCTTGCCTAAATATTGTGCAGCAAACTTTAAACAAACTTCAACTTGCCTTTTCTTCAGCAATGGAGTCTTATGTGGTGAGCGTGCATACAGGCCATGGTGGTTGAGTGCATTACTTATTTTCTATAAAACAATTGTACCTGCTAATTCCACGTCTTTCTGAAGCTCTCCACAAATGGTCATTGGCTCTTGGACAACTCTTCTGATAATTATTTTCACTCCTCTGTCAGAAATCTTGTGTGGATCACCTGGTCATAGCTGGTGAAATGATGTTCTTTCCACTTTCAGATTATGGCCCCAACAGTGCTCACTGGAACATTCAGAAGTTTAGAAATCCTTCAGTAACCAATGCCATCATTATGTTTTGCAACAATAAGGTTGCAAAGGTCTTGAGAGAGCTCTTTGTTATACCCATCACGAGATGTTTCTTGTGTGACACCTTGGCCTGTTGAGACTGAACCAGTTGATATTAATTTGCAATGACAAGGGGCAAGATTGCTTTCTAATTACTGATAGATTTCAGCTGGTGTCTTGGCTTTCCATGCCTTTTTGCACCTCCCTTTCTTCATTTGTTCAATACTTATTCCCTGTGTCATTCTATTTTATTACATATAACTTAATGTCTGAACTTATTTATTTTTGTTTCTTTGTATGTATGGATTGCATGGGTTGTTATTTACATGTGGTGAAAATTTCCTGTCAATAGCACCTTTAGAAATATATTTACCTAGAAAAATGGTGACCTGTTCAATACCTATACTGTATATACAAATAGAGACATTTTATAAAATTAAAAATGTTGTTCATTTAAACACAATGGCATTTGTTTAGTAAAACCAAGCACAGTTAGCTAGCTTTAATTACAGGAAATGTGTGCTGAGAGTCATTCTTAACCTGGCTGTCTATACTAACCTGGCTAACCTACACTGACTACTGACCTGGAACAAGAATGCAGATTAGAACGTCAGACTACTAATGGGCAGGGATTTAAACCAGTTTTAAACCCAAAGCAATTATTTATTATTTTCATCTCACCAATTCTTAGATGTGATGGCTGTATTAGTTCCCTTTTTTAGGCTTTTTTTCTTCTATTTTTATCTTTCATTCAGCCAGCAAGTCTGCTGTTTTTCAGATGTTCAAGCTCTCCAGCAGAATATATCAATTTACATGGATGAGACAATATCCATTAACCACTGACAGAGGTGATTAAAATGATCATCTTTTATTTATTCATGTAAAATCTTTATCCCAAAAGAAAAAAAAACGTTTGCTGTAACTGATTAAAAAGTGGAGTTTGGCTTCAATTTGTTATTGCATTCAAATCTGCTAACACATTAACACTCCCACTCCTCATCCCCTCCAACCTTTCCCAGACTGACAGCGCTGCCGTTCATTCCACCAGAGTGGTGCCTCACTAATACAGGAGGTGTGTTACTGGCCAGATCTCTAGATTTAAACAGAGGAAAAAAAGCCAAAAAGAAAATGTATTCACCACATCTAATGATTGAAAAGCTGAAATATATTACAGCTTGCGGTTTAATACCACTTTACTGTCAGTCTGGACATGGATTTAATATATTTGTGATCAGTAATGCAGAAAGTATTAAAGCCTTTGAATAACATTAGTGAATAAGTTAAATGCTTTGGGTGGATACCCACTGCTGTGCTCATGGATTATGAATTTCCTAACAAATAGGCAACACACTGGGAGAATAGGATTTCAACTTTGTATTACTATTATTCTCTATTTTTCTGTATGTTGATATATTTGTGAAGTTTACTGACAACACCTTAATTAGAATAACACAATAAAAGTGCCGCACTTTCCTGAAAACATCAATATAAATCAATTCAAATGTGACCTCAAGTTCTCAACAAAAAAAAACACAAAAAAATTAACTTCAAAATATAATATTTAATAAGTTCCAATTATTCAAAAAGTCCTAAAATTTCCTTTAAAATCACCATATGAATGCTTCTTTTCCATTACTCCATGTCTTCTTAATCTTAACATTTGTACCTCCACCACCAACACCCCAGATGTGCCCTCACCTGGAGCTTTTGACCTCAAATATAGGCTTGGTCAAAAAACACTTAATATTAAGTAATGATGTCTCTTGGATTGGAGTCTCTCTTTACTGATGAACAGCCTCCTTCTTACAAATCCTTCTCCTCCGCTCAGCCTACATACACCAAAAAAAATATATAGGCAAAACAATAGTACTTTATCCTTAAAACCACTGATTTATTCAATCATAAAAATTAGCAATTCACATGGTACAGGTGCTTAATCACACCAGAAATCACACACATGGTAATATGTAGCTGACACTGTATGAACCTATGGATCTCACTTCATTCTCCCACTATCGATTCTCCCACTATCGATCCATCATCCCAGTCTGTCAGCTGACCACTAGCGCTGTGATGATACCAAGCCCCTCCCCTACGTGTTACGCCACTGAGTCATGTGACTTCCTCAGGGGGATATATACACTATTTTTAATATTTAATAAACAAGTGGTTTTAGGGATAAAGCACTATTATTTTGCCTATATATATTTTTTAGTGTATATATACTGAACAGAGGAAGAGGATTTGTAAGAAAGTAAAAGAAAACTCCATTCAAAGAGACATCATTACTTTATGTCCATCCTAGGGGATGCAAGCATTTTATGACCGAGCTTATATGAGATCAAAATCTCCAGGTGAGGGCACATCTGGGGTGTTGGTGGTGGAGGTACACATGGTAAGGTTAAGAAGACACGGAGTAGTATTGGGAAAGAAGTATTCATATGGTGATTTTAAAGAAGTTTTTTTTAGAATGGTTAATTGAATAATTGGGACTTATTAAATATTATATTTTGAAATGTATATATATATATATATATATATATATATATACATACATACATATTTTTTTGTTGAGAACTTGAGGTAATGTTTGAATTGATTTCTACTGATGCTGTGAGGAAAGCATGGCACTGTTTTTGTGTTATTTGTGGGTTAGAGCACATTTATATGAGTATATGTAGGTGTTGGCAGCTTTTCTTTTCTTTTAATTTTTAAACACTAGAGCCGCTCGTGGGATTATATTTTATTACTTGTCTGAACACTTTAGTTAGACTTGTATGAGATAATGACAAGATGGCTTATAGGCTAGAGACTCAACATTCGTGGTGTAGAGAAAATGATTTAATGCTTAATACTGCAAAAAGTAAGAAATCTTAGGAAAGATGGAAAATGGCTGGATTGCCCTTATGGCTTCTGGTCATATTTGTATCATTGCCCCATTGAGAGTATTCTTATCCACTGTGCTGTAGTATGATAAGCCAGCTACAGGGCCAGCTGCTTCTATCCACATGATAGAAGTGATCTAATTATGTATACATTCAATTTATCACAATTGTTTAATACTATTTATGCCATGATAGAATAAAAGTGTAAGTACATACAGGGCCAGAATTTTGCATAGCTAACATAGGTCATTCATAAAATGCACGCCATGGTGTGTAGCCTCCATTATTAGAGAGCTCTATAATTAGAGAAAAGTCATCTGACTTTGACAGATCACAAGACTGGATTTTCCTCCTGGCTATTTTTTTCTACACAACTTTCATTCATCTCTATTGTATTCTGCCATTTTTGGACTCTCGAAGCCAGAAAAGTGCCATGTATACTTAGAAAGTACTGTGCTGTATAAATGTGCATTGCAGTCATGTCATTGCTTTTTTAATATTCCCCTAAACATATCCAGAAAAATAGGCTAACCATGGAGCTAGTTTCACTTCAGAAAGTGATGTGGAAACGTTTTGTTTATACCATCCACTGCAGCTAGATATCTATAACAATATTCTCCTGTCAACAAATATTACAAAAAAATCCTGATGGGAATATTGCAACAACAATGAAATGATAACAAAACTTACCAAACAAACTTCCAAAATGTCCATCTTTAGTGAGAGGACGCAGCTCATTTTCCCCCCAAGCATATTTCTTGTAGCTGTCCCACGCAAACTTCATCATCTGTAATTGTATAAAGCAAATGTCAAGTATACTGCCGTGTAGTTTCTAATTGAAATATTTAGAACTTATTTAAGGTATGGAACTGTAGGTCAATTAATAAACTATATGGCGGTTAGTACAAATTCTAAATATAACAGTGAACGTGGTATGGTATATCTGATCAAAAAAGTAAAGAAGAAAAACTGATCCTAACAGAAATCCAGTAAGCCTCTAAGTTTCTGTAGTGAACTGGAATGCTGCACTGAAATATCAAACAATTGTATCTGCCTTATCTGGATTCTCTTTGTGGACTACATAATACCTCCCCTTTGTTATAGAAATTAAATCACAGGAGAGGTGTTCTGTAGTCCTAAACACATCCTGTCCTAGGATAACAATGCTTCTTATCTTAATGTTACACTAACAACATACACAAACCTTTTTTCCCCTTTGTGCTTTGCAATGTAGTGTTGAAAGGGGGAAAAAAAGCTCTCCTAAAGTAAAACACTTTAAGCATTACCTTTCCATCACTTTACACAAAAGAGTCTCACTAATTTGATATCATTTTAATCAACAGACTGTTACATTTTTGGGTAAATATACTGTATGTGAATGGGAAAAATTACAGAAAAAATAAAAAAAATGTCAAATGTAACACTATTTGTTTCCCAATAAAAAAAAGAAAATAATAATAGTAAATACAAAAAAGAAATTATATATATATATATATATATATATATATATACAGTTGTGTTCAAAATAATAGCAGTGTGTTGAAAAAATTGAATAAAGCTCAAAGTCCTTCTAATAGCTTTTATTTCCATACACACAAATGCATTGGGAACACTACACATTCTATTCCAAATCAAAACATGAAGAAAAATATATCAAATTTGTGTTGTTCCTCTAAAACAATTGAAGAAAAGTGAATATTAGACTGTTCAAAAAAATAGCAGTGTTTGTATTCTTCTTTACAAACTCAAACATTCACTATATAAACTGAAAAATGTTTGAAGATTTTGCTTTCCTTTGAATCACTTAATTAATATTTTGTTGTATAAGCACTGTTTCTGAGAACTGCTGTACATCTGTTGCATGGAGTCAACCAACTTCTGGCACCTGTGAACAGGTATTCCAGCCCAGGATGATTGGACTACATTCCACAGTTCTTCTCTATTTCTTGGTTTTGCCTCAGAAACTGCATTTTTTATGTCACCCCACAAGTTTTCTATTGGATTAAGATCCGGGGATGGGACTGGCCACTCCATAACGTCAATCTTGTTGGTCTGGAACCAAGATGTTGCACGTTTACTGGTGTGTTTGGGGTCGTTGTCTTGTTGGAACACCCATTTCAAGGGCATTTCCTCTTCAGCATAAGGCAGCATGACCTCTTCAAGTATTCTGATGTATTCAAACTGATCCATGATCCCTGGTATGCGATAAATGGGCCCAACACCGTAGTATGAAAAACATCCCCATATCATGATGCTTGCACAACCATGCTTCACTGTCTTCACAGTGTACTGTGGCTTGAATTCAGTGTTTGGGGGTCGTCTGACAAACTGTCTCCAGCCACTAGACCCAAAAAGAACAATCTTACTTTCATCAGTCCACAGAATGTTGCGCCATTTCTCTTTAGGCCAGTCAATGTGCTCTTTGGCAAATTGTAACCTCTTCAGCACATTTTTTTTTCAACAGTGGGACTTTGCGGGGGCTTCTTGCAGATAGCTTGGCTTCACATAGGTGTCTTCTAATTGTAACAGTACTCACAGGTAACTTTAGACTTTCTTTGATCTTCCTGGAGCTGATTGTTGGCTGAGTCCTTGCCATTTTGGCTATTCTTCTATCCATTCGAATGGTAGTTTTTCGCTTTCTTCCACGTCTTTCAGGTTTTGGTTGCCATTTTAAAGCATTTGCGATCATTTTAGCTGAGCAGCCTATCAATTTCTGCACTTCTTTATTTGTTTTCCCCTCTCCAATCAACTTTTTAATCAAGATACGCTGTTCTTCTGAACAATGTCTGGAACGACCCATTTTCCTCAGAATTTCAGAGAGAAATGCACTGTAACCAGCATGTACAACATTTGCTGCCTTTCTTCCTTAAATAAGGGCAATAATTGCCACCTATTTTTCAAAGAATGAATGACCTCACTAATAGAACTCCACACTGCTATTATTTTGAACATGCCCCTTTCAATTAGTGATTCAATTACACAGAATCAGCAGCATGCATGTCATGACTGTTGGGTCTGTTGGATTTCTATTACTCTACTACACCTGCTAGTAAATTATTTGCCATATACAAATATCATTTCTACCAAAAACAGTGATTGATCAGGTTAGTGATGTCTGACTGCTATTATTTTGAACACAACTGTATATATATAAACAAAAAAAAATACAACTAGTAACAACATTTTTATTTTTTTTTTTTTGCTTAATTTTTAAGTCATCCTAATATAAAAACCATTATTTACAAATGCTCAAAATATTCATAAACCAACACTTCAGATTTTTTGCTGTTCAAAATTATGCAATTTTGGGGGTCTTTCAATATATTTCCAATTGCAGGGCCATTGTGTGAGAGAAAAAGCTTCATAAAAAATATCTAAAATATACACCATTGTTCCTACATCTATTTACCCCATAACAGACAAATGTGGTATTGTTTGATTCCAGACAAATAATAACATTCATTTCAGAAAAATCCATTTTGTCTCATCTTTTATATTTTTATATGGACTAAGTATTAGAAAAATGTTTTTTTTTTTTTCATAATTTTCACCACTTGTCTCTTATTTCTTGAAAACTATAGTATAACATTTAAAGTAAGGCATCAAAAGAAGGTATTCTCTGTCCTCAAAAATCAATATCATGATTGGCTAGTTTGACTGCCAAGCAAAACAGAAATAACATGTCCAAAACAAGAAAAAGCCCTGGATCTAGAAGGAGCTGTATATGGGTTTAAAGTGTAATTCAAGTGCAGTCAAATTGGGATAACACCAGCTTTACATTTGTTAATAATTTTCTCATTCATATAGCATAATTTATAAAAACAAAATACTAATTGCTGCTTACCATTTTAGATGCTTTTTTCTGATAACTCCAACACTGCAGCACTGAAAAATCCAACTTAGTTCTATTTGTTTTTGAGGTGGCTGGGGAGCTATGTTTGTCATAATTAACCCCATCTGTGTTGTGCTGGAAGATCTTATTATCAGTTGCAAACTAGGTTTGAACACTGTCCTAACAAAGGGTTAAAGCTTGAAAAGCGTGCCTCTTTTATTAGATACCTTATAAACCTATTCAGAACTGGTTGCAACCAGTCATAGCACCTTATCCTAAGAAACACCTAAAAGGTAAGAACATTTTTTTTTTTAAAGGTAAGCTGTTTATATGAGAACACATGCCAAACATATAGTGGGGTTTTCTCAAATCTGACTGTAAAAGTATAAATACACTTTAGGCACTAGGACTAATGTGGTTAAATGTATATGTAAATTTATATGTAATTTCAGCTTAAAAATGTCTTTCAGCATGCAACCACAAACCCCAATGTGTTTGTATAATTAAATATGTGTTTGCAATATCTTTCTAAAGATTTATCCACCCACATGGTTTTAATAGTGCTCGTCAAACGGAAACCTCTATTAAACTTCACAAGAAATACAGTTGATCATTGATCATAGTGACAAATGCTCCAACCCAAACACAGATTTGCAGCTTCAGATCAGTTGCAGAACTAATGAAGACATTAAAACATAGAACTCTAACTAGCTCAACATTATATATTTTGATTGTAGTAAAGTATTACATTTAATTGGCAAAACAGATTTACATTCAAGTAACCTCTAGGATATACTGATATGTACAATAGATTTATTTTCTCTCCATTGAGGCACACAGGAATTTTTAGACTGATGGGTTATACTGTTGTCTGCAGGAGAAATAGACAGTGGCAAAAAAAAAAAAAAAAAAGGTTGGTCATTACAAGATGACTTCACCTACAATTACCATGTCTCAAATTTTAGCTTGTGTCTTCTAGGAGAGTGGATGGCCTTTCTTCAGCTCTGCTGCATGTTCTGTTTTTAAGAATATATGCTACTATCAGCTGCTGGTAGATTGATTTTAAATATGTTAAATAATGAATGTCTCTCCAGTCAGCCAAGAAGACCTAATGGATTCATGCCAGATATATTAAGGGATAAGTTCACCTTTTTACCAACATAATAAATGCACATTTTTTTGCAGGTAAAAAAAAATGCATTTGTTATTTTTGGTTGCAGTCTGTAAAGCATTGCACCAGCGAACAGCAGATCACTAGTGCCATGCAGGTCTCCTGCAGACCTGTCAGTGTTTCTGCTTGCCCATATGGGATGTATGGGAAGCAGATACACTGACAGGAAAATTCAATAATCTACCAAGGCACTTCTGTTTTGCCTTGTAAGTGTAATATTTTTCATATCAAAGGTTATTTTATCTAAGATTTACACTATGTGCAGCATTCTGTTTCCCTTTACGTTTGTGCAGAAGGGAATATTTGGCATGGAGTAATCCATCCACCGGTTGATCCTTGTATGTGATTTGATGTGAATGGAAGTCTAGTGGAGTTCATGATAGATATAAGCTTGTTTTGACTTCTCTAGCAGAGGGTCAAAACGATTTGGTAAGCTCAACATTTTTCAGGTAGCAGGATCATTTTTGTTTTTTTGAAGTGATAGCATGATATTACAAGGAGTATAGTTAGTTACATAGTTAGTCTAGCTGAAAAAAGACAAAATTCCATCTAGTTTAACCATAAAAAAAAAAAGTAATAATCCTATACCCACCATTGATCCACAGGAAGGCAACCCCCCCCCCCCCCCAGCAAAGCATGATCCAATTTGCTCCTGCAGGGAAGAAATTTCCTTCCTGATCCCCCCGAGAGGTAATTGGATATTCCCTGGATCACCTTTACCTGTAAATGTTAGTATCCAGCTATATTATGTATATCTAGGAAAGAATCCAGGCTTTTTTTTAAAGCAATCCACTGAGCTGGCCAGAACCAACTCTTGAGGGAGTCTATTCCACATTTTTACCACTCTTACTGTGAAGAAACCTTTCCGTATTTGGAGATTAAATCTCTTTTCCTCCAGATGTAAAGAGTGCCCCCTTGTCCTCTGTGATGACCTCAGGGTGAATAGCTCTACACCGAGTTCACTATATGAACCACTGATGTATTTATACATGTTGATCATATCCCTCTTTAATCTTCAGTGTATATTCTGAGTATTTTCAGTGTCCTAAAGGACTCTCAATTTATGGAGGATTTATAATTTGATTCACATATTTTTGGGTTCACCATTGGATTTACACCATTTTGGACTTATATTATTTTGGACTGTTTCTTGTGGGTTTTTTTTTTTTATTTATTACTGTTCACATATTGTCAATTATTTGTATGTACTATTTTTATTTTGCTTATAACACAACTTTGGACTAGCACAACAGATTTATAATTTATTTATTGAGAACTAAAAGCTGACAGCCGCTAAGGCTGTCGGGACTTGTAGTTCATTCATTCACAGAACACGAACACTGTGAATGAATGACACGGTCATCATTGATTTCAAAAAGGGACAGCTAGTACAGGGAACTTCTCTCTGTACTTCTGTCGCGGGGGGGAGGCTGCAGCAACTGCAGCATTGGAGAACATGTTCCACCGAGAAACGAGTAACATGTTCCCAAAGGTGAACTTATCCTTTTAATCCTGGAAGTTTCCCCAGGCAGCCACCAAGCACTGTTTTCCCAGTTTACACTGGTGTTCTGTCTGCAATAGCCCTGAATTTCTGGAAGTTTCTCCAATCATCTACAAATATTTAAAACAAACAAAAGAGGATGCCTCCATCTCGTGATAGCAATTTATTAAAACTAATAAGACAATAAAAACGCACTCACCAGTTACAAGTGGATCAAGGCTTGTTATAAACCTATTTACACCTCCATAGGATCCCCAGCAGGCTGCAGAACACTGCAGGATGGTGACACCCAGGCAGGTGATGGTGGCATAAAGCCGAAAGAGGTGTTGATTGGAGATGCAGCCATCTTTCTACACCTGGAAGCTGCTGCTGCCTATATTCCACCAAGAGCTCTGCTACAGATAGCTGCTTGCCTGCCCTGTTCTGCAGTCTCATGGGGATCCCATGGAGGTCTATATGGGTTTATGAGAAGCCTTGATCCACTTTTAACTAGTGAGTGCATTTGTATTGTATTTTATTTGTTTTAAAACATTTCTACACCTAGATGGAGGAGCCCTCTTGTGTTTATTTTATATAGGTACATTAGGATCTGAAGACTTAATTGGAGAGAAGCTGCATCCATTTCACCTGGTGTTCCTTATCCATCTCCTGGCTCTCTTATTTGCCCCATTAAATGATGGTTGGGGTCTAGTCAGCGCAATAGCTTATTCATTTTCTTTGGTTTATCTAAAAATATTGGTAGATTCAAGCTGAATGTAGAAATCCTGAACAGCTCCCCAGTTTTTAAGCAGCTCAGGTTCCCGATTTATAATCTACAGTATCTCACAGAAGTGAGTACACCCCTCCCATTTTTGTAAATATCTTATTATATCTGTATGCAGGTGTTCACTTTGCAACAGTCCTTCAGTGGGCAGTGACTACTGTTTGTGTTCCATTTCACACAGGACTCTGATTTTCAGGTTTGGCCAGTAAGTCTCCAGTACGTATCCCTTAAGAAATCATCGGTCCAGAGCAGAGACCGTTTTCCTGTCTCAATATCTGCAACTGTTGTGAGTAATTAGCAAGCTTATGTTGGGTTGGCATTTGTTACAGAAGCAACTGTAGCTGACTGGCCATTTAGTGGAAATTAAAATGCTCCTTTTCTTTCTAGCTTGCAATTACTGTATGTACTTTGCAAGTTGGAAACATGAGGAAGTCCTCTTGATTAATTTTGCTTGGGCTATATAGGGGGAATTGTTTCACTTTTATTTCATATTTTGTGTAGCACTACACAAACTGTTGGCACTACATAAATAGTGTATAATAATAATAATTTGTTGCCTTCTCCTCAGCTACAACTTGACACAGCTCTAACTCTTCAGGGAGAGAACATGGATGTGCAGGAGCATGCTCAAAAGTTTCCATCTTCTATACTTGCTTACTCTATATAGACATTTATTTACATCTTGAGAATGTCTAGGATGAGTAGCGTTGAGCTGTACATTCTACTTCCCAGTTGCTGGCTTTAATGGTATGGCCGTTAAAGACTTGGTTTGTTGATTCAAGAACATCTCTAAATCTGGGTTTACTGTGATGCTAACAGCTACATGCTACCTCCCATATGGTCCAACATCAGACACAGAAGGTATACTACGCTTGGTGTGAGTCTCAGGGCTTTTACCCTAGGAGTTTCTCCATAAAACATATACTCTCCTTCCTGCAGCTGGGTCTAGACCAGCATTTGACTCTCAGCACCTTCAAGGACCAGGTTTCTGCCTGGTCTGTCTTGTTTTAGAGACTGCTGGACTTTCGGCCCTTGATTTAGACCTTTGTATAGGAAGTCTCTAATATAGCACCCACTGTTCATTCCACTCTGGCTTTTTGGGATCTGAATCTAGTTCTCTCTGCATTTCAAAGCTACAGTGCGAACCCATTAGAGACATTATGCTCTGTACTTTCACCAACAAGATGCTTTTTCTTGTAGCTGTCATCTCTGTGGGAGGAGTGTCTGAACTGGAGGTCTTTTCCTGCAAGTACACCTTTCTGGTTTTGAGTAGTGTTGAGGTCCAGGACTTTTTTTTTTAGTGAACGTAGTTCTGCCTTTTACTTTAACCAGAACATTGTTCTCTCATCCCTCTATCTGGCTACAGTTCATCGTAAAGACATTTTCCTCCATTGTCTGGATGTTTTTTGGGCTGTGAAAATCTATTTTTTTGCCACTGCTTCATCAGCAAGACTGATTCTTTTTGTGTTCTAGATGGACCCTTTAAGGGAACACCTGCTTTTCGGTTCACCCTCTCTAGACCATCATCCCAACTTATGGTTTGAAAGATTGGGTTCCACTCTTTTCTGTCAAGGTGCACTTTAGTGGACCTGTGAGTGCCTCTTGCAAGGCCACCACCTGGTCTTCTGTTCTTGTTTTCTAAGCTCTACTAGGTGGATATTCAGCCCCCATCTGTGCCAATTTTGGGACTTAAGTCTTTTAGGCAGCTAGTCCCCAGTTTGCTGTTTTTTTTTATGTTAGCCTTGTTGCTATGTTGCCCACCCCACTGTTGAACTGCTTTTGGATGCCCAACAGAAATCTCGTGTCCCTCAATGGACGAGAAAGAAAACAGGATTTTTGTACTCACCGTAAAGTTCTTTTTTGGAGGTGTCCCCCTCCTGCTATCAGTATCACTTTGCTACAAAACTAAGTGATTATGGTTGTGGGCAGGGTTATCCTGTGCTAAAAAACAGCTATTTTTGTTGCCAGTATCTTTTTTTTCCTGTAGGTGACAGTATCACTTGACAGTCTAACAATTCCTGTTTCCCTTCCCAATGGACTCCAAGAAAGGATTTATAGTCAGTACAGAGTAATAATCCTATTATAATGTCTGCACAATTGCCAAATGCGTTGACACTGCCAAGGAGATTTGCCTTGTTTTCTCTTCATTTTTATGTTTCGTAAATAATCTGACAAATAAAAAGACATTAGTGCTAATGACTGAAATAATATACTGTTTGTGCATTGGAAACTGAATTGCAGGCAAACAGTAAATGCACAGTTGAAATGTTTATGTATTAATGGTCACCTACGAAAAATTTGTTCAGCCAATTTTGTGATCCAGGTACACCTGCCAGACACCAAGGCCAGATCCATGACTTCTAGTGCAGAGCTATGCAATACAGCTTAGTAAAAATAAATCTGCCCACAAACTGCTGCTTGGAAAATGAAGGAACGGCCAAACATGGATAAGATGATGCTTGTGCTCCCCCCTTCTGTAACCATGTGCACAGTGCTACACTGACAGCACTGTGCTAATCAGATCCCAGATATGTTCACAGTGCTGACCTCCCAGGCCCATGCCTAGTAGGTAATCTAAAATTAAAACTAGGTCATTTAAAAATACAACAAAAACACTTTTAATTGAAAAAAAAATTATTTGTGTTTTGTTTAATATCTGTCTTGGAATCCATCAAGATAATACAAGTATTTATACAGTATTAGGCATTACAGTCATCCATTGGTAGCTTTAGGGTAAGAATTATGGTAGAACAACCATTCCAAAGTAATGGGTACTGCTGTCTAAATCAATTGATTAATCTGTAACTAAATAAATGGCAATTGCACATCCACGTTGCATATGTCATAAATTAACTTTTTACAGTTCATTTATCAATACAGTCAGTCTACTGGCCTTGAAAGATATATGGTATGTGGATGCTAATGATCTGCAGGACTCTGTTTAGAAATATGTTTTGGGGAGTGCACCACTGGCAACAAAATTTCCACACACCACCTAAGGAAACAATTTCTTCACCCAATCTCCCAGTTCCACCCAGCTGCCAGAACCACTATGATAGGATCTAATGAACTCCACTACATTTTTGTGAAATGCACTTTTCTGTGAGGTACTACTTTGCAACAACATAAAATTTAATACTGAGTAAGGATTTGTTTTTACTCGTGGATACCCCTAAAAATGTAGGAATATTACTGGATGATTCAGTCAATCAGCACAAACCATAAAGTAAAACAACATTTTGGCAGATTCAATCACACAATTACAAATGATAGTAGAGCATACAGCAAAAACAAATACAATGATGAAATAGCAAGTTCTAGGATTCTTAATCTTATACTATGAAAACAATGAAAGTTACCTCTTTTATTTTATCTCTTCTTTCCCGTGTTTCTGGGTCTTTCTGTTTGTGATGATTTCCGAGTGGCGGATATTTAAGAGATTTTTTGAAAGCGTTATAATCAAATATAAAGTCAGCATGGTTTCTTTGAGCTGGAGATATTTCATTGTCTTTATTTTTGGCTTTGGCAGCTACGATATGCTCTCTGTTCAGTGAATTGTCTTCTTTGTGTTTTTCATACTTGTGAGCTAGAAATCCCAATGGTTTCACGTTCACATCAAACTCATCTTTGGATCTCCACTTTTCCTGATTTGTATTCCGAATCAGAGACTTTTGATCATCTACAGTTTTTTTGTTCATTTTCTTATTAGCATAGCTGTGTATTCGTTCACCACTCTGGCTCTGGGTACCTGATAAAAATATCCTTTTAAACTTTGATGTGTCTGGTAAGAGAAACAATGTCCCGAAACAAAGTGTGATAAATCCTGATAAAAATAACAAGAATACAAATTTCTGAGAAAGACGAAGTCCAAATCCAGCTGGAAATATCCCAGAAATCTTTCTCAAGAACATGGTTTTAATTTGCATCTAATTATTTGTACTTCAGTGACAAATGTTCATTTTGTAATTGCATAGACATCTTATTTTGTCTTTAAATCTCTATTAAATGGTTCAATAGTGTTGAGTCATGAAGCAGCTAGCGTATTCCCACCTGTTTAGATAAAATAAATCTGGTGTTGTTAGAATGAAAGGCTATTTCAGATACCGGTTTTAACACAAAACAAAATATAAATGTAACAATAAAAAATATGAGGCAAATGTGGAGTCATTAAAGTCTGAGTTATTATTGTGGCCTATACTCACGAAACGACAGATGGATTGTAATCAATATTTGGCCTTTGTTTCTTTATAGCTTATGCATATATATGTCATGTGTTATTCCTCAGCACTCCGAAATCCAACAGTTTCATTGGAGAGGAGCACGGAATGGGCCCACTTTATTACCATCACCACATGCTGTATACATTATGAAATATCCAATAAACAGCCTCACACTTAGGGCTCATGTACATTGCAGCTGATAAACTCACATTTAGGAGCTTTTCTGCGTTTTTGTCTGCAGCCCCTGAACTCTTCCTAATGCTTTCCTATGTGTCCATGTACACTATGTCGTTTACAGTTGTTTACAGGCAGTTGAGTTTACAGTCGTTTTTTTAAACACAATAAACTTACTTTCAGGAGTAGATTTTATCAGCGTTTCAAGCGCCAAATGCTTGTAAATGCGGCTAACTGCATTAATAAGCATTTGCGTTTAGAAGCGTTTTTAACTGTTCCATTTCCAGATGCTGTCCAGAACCTTTTTTCATCATGAAAAATGCATGCAAATCTTTTTCAAGGTACTCAAATGGACAAAACACTGAACACGGGATGTTCCCACCAAGCTTGTCACACATTGCTGACCAATGACCAATTCACACCACAGACCTCTCCCACCCTTGGAAACAAAAGATATGTTAATGACCATTCACAGCTCAAATTCCTCATGAAGACCCCCTGCCAGGTGGCCTTAATGACTCACTCCAGCAGACACCTTTCCCACCCTTGAAAACAAAAGAAATGTTAATGAGCAACTCACACCTAAGCTAATCTCAACACATACTGCTGTGTCTGCTTCTAAACTCTGTATTTCTCTGAAACAGTCTGAAATAGTTAATAATTTACCACTTTCCAGTGCATTCTGGGCATTTGGGAAGTTCTCCTGTGCTTATCTTTAAAAAACACTTCTAAACGCAAACACGCATAAACGCAGCTAAACACGGTATGCAAACACGTCAAAACTGACGGTTTTTAACGTGTGTTTACCTGCTGTCAATTTCCAGTGTTCAAACGTGAGTTTATCAGCTGCAGTGTACATGAGCCCTTACATAAGAACCATAGGCAGCCTGCAAACCTCTTTTGGGATTATCTATGCCTGCTGTCAATATACTGCTCAGTAATAATCTTCAAATTATGTCATATCTTTGTTATGTTAGAAAGATGGAGTTGTGGAAAGCTGAATCACTTAGTTCAAGTGGGAATCACGACTGGGTGTGTTGTCTGATGTAAAGCTATTAACTAGGAAGCTCTTCAAAAGACAGGGGCCAGAAATGAAGCTCTTGTCTCAAGGATGTTGAAGATATCAGGAGGAAAGCAAGCTGATTGTGTGCAGAAAAAAAAAAATATTTATTACATTTAAGAAACAGCCAATGTGTTTTAGAAGTTTCATAGGGCACCTTTTATCAGGGCCTTTTGAAATGCTGGAAGGTTTTTATTTTGTATGGTGCAGTTTTAGTAGTCCTGTGTAGTGCTGTTGCAACCTGACGCAGACCCTGTTTTGTGAGCATCCACAGGCTTAAAGTGTTACTAAACCCACAACAGTAAAATCAGTCTGTATATGCAGTAAAGCATGCTTGTTATATGTACTGTGGCATCTAAGGGGTTAACCCTCTGCTTTGTATAAAAATCTGCTTGATTCTGTCTTCTCTGATCCTCCCCTTTTTCCAGTGACCCCCTCTTATCTCCTGATAAGACATATGGAGTCATTCTGCACATGCTCAGTTTGGTGTATATTGCTAGAGAGCTTTTTTTTTTTTTTTAGGAGAGTGTATGTGATTGGCACAGGGCCAATCAGCACTGTCCAGACAGAGGTAAGGGTTTCTGCATCCCCCAAAAGTAAAATGGAAACTCCTCCTACAAGCTGTAACCAGTGCTCTGCTAGACACTGATAGAAGTCACAAGACTGCTCTAACTGCTAAAAAGGTATTTAGCAGTTTATATTTACTAAAATAACTGCACTCCCATGTTGTGTGTACTGTGGGAGACCAGATATAGTGAATGCAGGGTCCTGGGTTTAGTAACACTTTAATTTGCATTACCCTATCTACTCCAGGACTAATATAACTACACTGCACATAATACAGTATAAACCTTCAAAAATTTCACAAACTCTGATAAAGGGATCCCTTGGAACCTTCAAAATGCATTGGCTGTTTCTTACATACAATAATTAATAAAGTATTGTTTCCAGTCACGATCAGTCTAGTGTTTTTTTTTTCAGATTTAATGACACTTACAAATAGTAGTAGCAAGACCAGAGAAGTATTTAAATTATGGGGCAGATAACAATGGGTTTAAATGTTCTACTGGCTGCTAAATGTTAACATTATACAAATGAGAATTAGATGCATCAGGACCTCAAGAGGGTGTAAAAAAATAATGATGATAAAGGAACCACAAGAGAAAGCCAAGAAGTCAAAGCTAATTGTGTAGCATCCAAATAAACATTCATCATAGATGTATCTGCTGAATTTTTAATTGCTCTCTACCACAGAGAATAGTAATAATTTAATTAAAGGTATGGGCAGAACTGCGTTTGAGTTCTTAGATACTAGTGAAACACAAAGTATATTAGGATCAGCAAAGACACATTCCTAGAATTTTTCTCTATTAAAAAAGAAGCAGGGAGTGTCAGTTATAGTTTGCCAAATCAAATTCTTTATAGGAAACAGCTAGAAAAACCAAAGTTACAATAGAAAAATGAAGGCTGACAGTGCTAATTAAATGTCTTCAATATTTTATCATTTAGACCTTCACGTGGGTTGTAGCTCTCACTCTCCATGATTGGCTGAAATTTTTTGGGCTTCCTAATGGTGACTCACCCTGTAGCTGCACCCAACAATACACTGAACTGCCAGTGGTGGCAATCAGGCTCCAGTCACTGTAGTTTTTAATCTTTTATTGGCTCAATATCTTGTGGAGTGGGTTAGGGCAAAAGATACCCCAGAAACAGCAAAATATCCCAGGTCTTCAAGAAACCGCAAACTAAGTGCAGCCTCCTAAGAGCTTCTACTAACAGCAAAGTTGATAATGTCTCTAATATTTCATTAGTAGCCTAACAATTTATTAGCAACGTCCAGATAATATAATGACCCTCTAACCCCATATAGCAGCACTGTCGCAGGTAACTTGGATAGCTGAGCAACAGAAATCCCCATGCAATGTCCTTTGGAAGCAGCTCCTTTCAAGCTCTCCAAGATATCCGAAATTTAGAGGTCAAAAATCCTAATCTGCTTTCTTGTTCCAGATCACTATTTCCTGTAGTTTTATACAGGATTGTCAAAAGGGTCAGATACATACATCTTGCCCCCCTAGGCAACTGGCTTGTGCCGATTTCATCCTACCATACTCAGTACTAATCTTATTCAAGGCCAAATGAAGTTGGGGCAGAGAGCTGAAAGACGGTTTCATAGTACACCTGAACTAGAGCCATTCTAGTACCTTTTTTTTGCATGTGATTTTGTTAATGTCTACATTATGTTTGGGCTGCTGCATGCAGCTCCCTTGCAGCACTGTCTCCCTGGATCACAACCTGTGTTAGCCATATAGAAATAAGATCTTGTTTGCCAATATATACCAATGTTGGCTGTTATTAGAAAGCTTGTGGGGGGTGGCAAGGGTAGGTGGGTGATGATGGACCTTCCTCCATGTTTCCCATTAACTTGTTGGGTTCCCAAATCTGGGTCACATAAGAGGACTACCCCTGGGGTGGGTTCCCCTTGGCTATGCTAGGCACCTGGAACAAGATCACTTTCAGTAAATCCCCTATAATTATAATAATACACATGGGGTACCTTTAGTCTGTACCGCTTTCATTAATTCCTTGGGCAAGCTGAGGTTTCTGTTGGGCAATACTCTACCTTAAGGTGGGCCTCTATTCAGAGATGAAAGTACACCGTGTATTCTTGCACCATATCTGTTCTCCAGTCAACTCTCAGGACCCTGTGACAAAGGACACTGTCTTTGTAATTTGCATTTAGGAGGAACATGCTGAGCCCTATCCACATCCACCTGTCCAGCATTTTACACTACTGTCCCTACTCTTAACTCAGGCTATGTGTTGCCCTAGCATTCCTGAAAAAGGTAGAATCCAAGTACTACAAGGTCCATCAGTGGCATTCCCCAACAGCTGGTGTCTTCAGAGGTGAGCCCCAGGACTTTCTACGCTATGGCGGCAGCAGCAGACGACAGTCTTCTACTACTCCTGAGTGCTGCTTCCCGATCTTCTCCCTCTCTCAGGGTTTCCCAGGTTTGGGCTCTCCCTTTTTCTCTCTCAACTACCAACTCTCTACTGCTCTCACTCCTGATCACTGTCCCTCTTTTATATATCACAGGATCAGTGGGTTGGACCCAGAGATAAGACGCAAAAACCAAAGAACCGGAAAAGGCATTAAAGCCTCTCCCTCTGGGCAGCACCTAACTAGAACATTCATTAACCAACCTACAAGCTGCTACCCTGGCATGACCTGGTGACCACAACACATTATTTGCATTGCACTATTTTTGGCAAAGTAATTTTAGTGGCTTAAAAGAATGGTTAGTTGGCCAAATGTTTAGACAGAGAGTAACTGTAACTTGCAGTTTCCTAAACAGATGCAGAGTTAGAAACAATAATGCAAAACTGGTTCAAAATGGCAGAGAACATGCATACACTGCAGAGTAAAAATAGCTATACAAACATGGACTCTTCACAGCAATGTCTCTGTGACTCA